ATACTGAGTTTATATACCAACCAGATAGACCACATCGTACCATAAAATAGGAAACAACATTTGTACAAGATTTGGCCAAATGTGGCTGTGAATGTGGGAGGTAGTGATTAATAGACAGGGAATAATTCAATAATGGAAAATCGTATTCTAACAGTTCATAGGTTAAAATAAAGCTTATGATTAGAGACATGATATGAATAGTTTAATTATTTAATAATTATACGATAAAAATAAACGCATATTATTGGTTCATAAATGGATCTCAAAAGTTACCATTCATTATGCTTATTGGGACATAACAGTTTTATCGTGGCATGGAACTCCAGAACATAGAATTCATATGAGACCAAAACCTATGAACTATAGTTGGGATAGCAAGGATAATATCTTCAGACCACTCGTAAAAATCTTCAACCTCAATAGAACAACTTCAGTTTATCAGGAAATAACCATGACATATAACTATTAATTAAAGCAGTTCAATTCAAATTGTACCACAGATTATTATTACTTATACCTCTCATTGTACGCACCACTGCTTTAGAGCTCAACACAACAACAAACAGATTCCCAATGCTTCATAATTTCCATTGGTACTCTTACTGGTATCGATCTTTGATAGATAAAGCCTATAAATAAAAACATTCACCACAAAATTCCTTCATTTGTTTGTACCTTATTCCTAGTCTTATATACCTTATCAGTTGTATCTCAAAGATTTATGCATCCAGAATTGCCTATCAAAACACTATCTGCTTTGATTTACACAGCAGGCTAACTACATTATACTTCATAAACACAAATTTAGTCAAATGCTTACTTTAAAAATATTTCTACATATACGTTAATCTGTCCTTAATGTATGCGTGTTTATTCACGTGAATGCACTTCATTTCTTGGATACAATAATAAATTTTCAATCTTCAATTAAAGTATTAAATAGTCTATCACAAGGTCATTTTATTCATTCTTCTACACACTAAATCACCTTAATTAATTGGTTATAGAAAACAATCCATAAATAGACGTGCTAAATAATATATATATATATAATCAGTTTAGCGGTTGTGGAGATTGTTAAGGTTCTGATTGAGATCATGAACGGATTGATGTTAGACCACCATTGAAAACCTGGAAGCACTGGACGGCCGTTCCGTCCTATTGTGGGACTCCTCAGCAATGCATATCCACGATCCCGCTCTCGGGATCCGAACCCGGGGCCTTCAGTCTCGCGCGCGAACGCTTAAGCTACTGGACCACTGAGCCGGCACCCAATGGTGTTAATGTCTAACCTCAACCAATTCACGAAGTTGCGCGACCATCTTCCATTGTACTGAGGTAGATACCTGTTTCTACCCGACACAGATTAGCTCCACTGGTCACAACTTCTCACCAGAACTCCAAGAATTTTCTCACGAAGCTAGTCACTAGTGAGCACATGGTAATTATCAGTTTAGTGGTTGTAGAGATTGTTAAGCTTTTGACTGAAATCATGAACTGATTGATGTTAGACCACCACACAATAGGACGAAACGGCCGTCCAGTGCTTCCAGGTTTTCAGTGGTGGTCTAACATCAATCACTTCATGATTTCAACCTATATATATATATATATACAAACACAACTAGAGATCAGTATTGAAATATTCTAAAATTACTTAAAAGACTGTAATACTTGATACTCCACTTAACGAAATCAAATGCCTTTATTTCATTTATGTACTGCATTTCAGATTAATTTTCAAAGAAGTCTTTATTCCTGGATTTAAGACACTTGATTAGAAATGAAGGATCTGACATAAGAAGGTGTATCAGTTAGTTTAGGTTCACACAGATACACACACACACATACAAACATTGATATGCTATAAATCGGTAAATAAATTAGGGAAATTTACAAGATAAGAAGAAAATGGTAACTAATTAATTTCGTATGGAATGAATTTTTAAACAATTCAAATGGAATAATAAATAAGAACTTTTGTCTAAATTTGATCGAATAGTTTCACAGTATTTGGGCGCTGAGTTGATATGTGACATTAAAGGAGAAGAACGTATTATTTGTAAAATCTCAGCGAAAGAATTTGAAGTAAATTCAACATTTCGTCTGGCAATCTGGTTCAAGTTTTTTCAAGGAAATATTTACTTCGAATTCTTTCAGTGAGATTTTACAAATACAACATTCTTTCTCTTTAATTCAAAGGGAAGTAGATATTTTATACCATTATCTTTTGCGATTGGTAAGTTTAAATAAAGTTGGAACAATAAAAGTAGAAGAATAAGATGAAATTATCTACTTAATTGATTCTCGTTGGTTGATTGCAACCTAGAAACGATACCGCATTCTGTTAGATTCATCGTTCTTGATTTATTTTTAAAAGTCGAAATGTAATTGAAATAATGATGAGCTAAGAATGATACATAATTTATTATTTACAAAAAAGATAAAAATGTAAATGCACTTGTATCAGTGAGAATGATTTGGTCTCTTACTACCAAATATATCCAAACATTAGTCATAGATACTGCTTGAACCCCAATGTGGAATTCACTAGTGGGACAAAAACCAAGGAGTGCTAAATAATCGTTTCAGTTCAGTTATGAGGCTTAACACCAATACAGATCATCAATAGAATCAATCTTTAAGCAGACTATATTACTGGCATCGTAAGGTAATTAATTGTCCCAATGGGACTCGAAGCCACACCATTCAGTTTAATAGTCTGAGGTACTACCATTCAGTTATCCAGTTAGAGACTGACCTCTTGCAGGAATGAGATATTTACATTGTTGGTAACGTATGTTCAATTTTACCAGAGAACATCTCCCTCTGTATTGCAGGTACGCCTTAATAACGATTTCCAACTGCCACAAAACCTAGGTTCAGAGATGTTCTGTCGACTACGTTGAATCACCTTGCATCAAGCATAATGCACACGATATCGAGTCATTTAGACCAATCGTAACAATATAACTTGTCGATGGAATTCGATGAGCACTAAATACTAGACAAACATAACTTCGATTACTACTCAGTGATCAGTTGATGTAGATTATACCACTGTAGTGTTGGTTATTATGTTAAGCCTATATACCTTATTCTAGCTTTCGGACAGGCTAATCTATTCATTCTACTTGAATCATATTTTGACCCTGTTAATTATTTGCTTATCAATCTTGACTGTTTTTATATGAGCGAATATATGTGTGTGCCCTTCTTATCCTATTCATCACATGTCTGTAGCTTAATTTTATGTGACTATAAATATTGATTAACGCTTGACTAAATGGAATTGGCTCACATGCCTTTTCCACTGTGAATTGTTTCGCTTCGCTCTCTTCTCTTCGGATCTCCGATATTTTGTCTGAATCAAAGATTGTATGAAATATACGTATTCAGAATTCATTCTCGTTATTTGACTTATTTAATTCAGTTATTGACTAACGCGATTTAAGTCGATGAGATATACGAGGATAGGCGACATACATATTTCGACAGCAATCATTCAATAACAAACATTCATACAATATAATTGGAGTCAGATCACGAGCCACTAAACCACTACGAAACTATTTTACTAATGATCTGCGTTCCAAAATGTACTGATTAATTCCAATAATGGTCAAACCTGATATCTGTTTGTCACAAGTCGAAAAAAATAGGCAAACCATCGGACAATGATTCAACTACTGAGTTGTAACGTGTTCTTGACCAGTAACCAAATGTCGACGACTTTATTCTACATAGAGAAGCCAAATGTTACTCTCACTGTTAAGAATTGTCTAATTCTGTAAATATTTTGTTTGACAGAGAGATTTGAATAATAATCAGTATGAAAAAAGGGTACGTCCCATTAATGTTATCTGTAATTTTTATTAATAATAATTACTAAACAAGAAGTATTTGATAGTTGTTTGTCCTATTATAGGACTCCTTCGTAGAGTTAATCCACGATTTGACCAAACCCAGGAACTTTAATCTCGTGCACGAACGCTCAACCTCTAGACCAGTAAGCTGGCATCTAACAGTGTTAATGCCTAACTTCAATCAACCCACGATATTGCACGACCATCTTTCATTGACTGTGGTGGATAACTGTCTTATACCCGACGTGGTAGGACTCCATTGGTCACAGTTTCTCATTAGAATTCCAGGAATTTCCTCTCAGCTTGTACACGACTATTAGTTACTATAAGGGATTATGGCAATCGTTGGATTTTGTTGTTACAATCACGTATTGATCTGGGTCAATTAGTATAGGGAAGATTGGTGGAAACTGTTTCTGTAATACCATTATACTCATTATTAAGTAATTATACTTCGAGTTAATTCCACCATAGAGTCAATCAAAACTGATACATTTGCTTAGGCAAAACGATCCAACTTATAACAGAAAAAAACTAGAACGATAATTCTAATGATAGTAATAACATCAACAACAACAAATCCCTTAGTATGTTTGCAAGTTTTTATTTTATAGAGTGGAGTCATGTGAACTGGATGACGATAGTATGAAGCTAGACTGGAAAACAAATTTCCTCTGCTGGTTTTTTTCTCATGCCACTTTGTCGTTGTTGTTTATAATTTGCTTGTATGTATGTGTTTCATATTCGTGTGCATATGTATGTTAGTGGTTGTTCAGTTTTGCTGGTTGGTTGGTTGGTTGGTTGACGGCTTGGTTAGTCCGATAAGTGTTTGGTTTAAAAACCTCTAGCCCCAATACCATGGATAGGTTAGACACAACCAAAACAAACAACCGACCATTCAACACACCCAGGCATCAACCATCAATAGACTAACATAACAGACTGCCTTTGAATTGATTGGTCGACGTCAATAATGGACCATAGAAAATAAATCAATAGCTATAATTTAAATTTCACTGTCTGCATAAGAATACCCCAACACCATCAACAATTATATGGACCTAACTATTGATACAAATAAGACAAGTGATTGATTTTTATGGATTGCTAGAATTATCTAAAAGGAAGAACAGAATGACCCCTTATCCTCAAGGGAATCCGGAAACTTCAAATTGCAACAAGAATGATTCAACATTAATTTCGAACGATGTTGATGATGATTACATAATACACACTTCATCTATTCGACTACCTTTTATTGCTGCTGGGTTAGTGAACGCTGCAGTCGCTGAACTGTTAAATCAACTATCATGTCGATTTTTTGAAATGGCTATAATCACTTCGAAAATTGCAGACAGTCAGAAAAATTCGTTAGTAAAGCAAAAGGATCAAGAAGATATCGAGAATGATGCGCAAAATACATACAGTAATAGTAATTCATCGATTTTTCCACAAAATGAAGGACTTACTACTACACAAGGTCAATCAGAGTTACAGAAAAAAATGCGAATGGATTTAGATAATCTAAGTGGTCTATCACCTGACCAAATGCCCACTTTACAACTGAATAATCAAGATGTATTCACCGCTCCGCTTCACCCTCCTCATCCTGGTACTATAGCTGTTTCATCATCTTCTTCTCTTTCCATATCTTCGACGATTTCTTTGTTTACAAGCTCTTCAGAAAATTGTAACACTCTCTCAGAAATAATGAAGATTAAAGAAGAATCAGAAGTGGGATATCCACTAGAATTGAGCATTGATCGTGGAGATACCAGTAATAATAAGAATGACTATTCTACACATGCTAATAACTTTGTAAGTAATCAAATCAATGATCAATATCAATGCCAACAAAATCATCAATCTAATTTAGCACGTATTGCTACAGTGGATTATTTAAAACGTCATCCTTGTACTTATCGTGGTTGTGGTAAAGTGTTTTTCAGTCGAACAAGTCTTATATATCATAAACAAAGTCATGCAATTGAAAAACCATACAAATGTACATATCCTAATTGTGGTTTAACATTTTGTAATGAGGCTTTATTAAAAACACATATACAATTACATGAACCAAAACAATTACGTGAACGTTTCTCATGTACATTACCAGGATGTAATAAGGTATTTGTTACACGTGAATGTCTTATAGAACATATACGTATACATACTGGTGAAAGACCATTTATTTGTGATTATCCAGGATGTACACATCGTTTTGCTAGACGATGTAATTTATTCGCACATAAACGTGTACATTTAGATAAAAATCAACGTCGTCAATATCATTGTATACATGCAGGTTGTGGTAAAACATTTTTATATTCACGTAGTTTAACTGAACATATGAATGTACATTTAGGTGAACGTCCATATGTTTGTGATTATCCAGGATGTGAAAAAAGTTTTACAAGTAAAAGTTATCTTTATGCACATAGAAGAATACATTTAAGTGGTATAGATAAATCAATCAATGCTACATGTTCTTCATCATCTAGTAATCAACAATTTGATTATAATAATACTTCTATTACTACTACTAATAACAATAATAATAGTAATGTACCACCAATACCAGTCACAGTGACTATACCAGTTCTTCAACAAATTCATTATCCATTTCCACAATCAATTTTATCGAATAAACAACAACTTCAACATCATCAAATTCAGCATCATCATCATCAACAACAACAACAAGTTCAACAACGAATTCAATCTCAATTACAACATCCTCTTTTAACGAATACAAATATTAATAATATGACTAATAATTTATCAGCTCATTTATTCTATTCCAATCAACATAATTAATAAATTGAACATTGAATTAACTATTTTAAAAAAATCAATACACGCATTCATTCAAACAAATAAAACTTTTTTTCCATTTTAATTATTGATTTTTAAAAAAAAGAACATATCAAGGCATAATATATATGATACTTTTGAAATATATCCATGTTTTTCTTTTTTTTTGGTTTCCTTGTTTGATATTCGTTGTTTTTCTTTTTTTCTCTTTCTTTTTCTCTTTTTTCTTTATTTGTTTTGTAAGGGGAAATATAGAAAAGATATTTCAGTTTGTAACTGATCGATAGTTGCTTCATTATGGATGATACTTTTCGTAATTGTTGTTGGAAGGATTAGTTATTATTATTGTTATCATTATTATTATTGTTCAAATATATAAACATTGATACAAAAGGGTACCCAAATATGTATGTGCCACTTAAATCATTGAGTTTGTGTGTGTGTGATAAGGTACTTTATGGTTGCCTAAGCCGAAACAGGTAGTTTTCCCAGAGGTCCACTTTCCGAGACTTTGGCCTAGAGGTTTAATCAACAAGGCAGTGGAGCAACATTAGGAGATGCAGTCCGATATTGGTCGTTAACCAATTATATGTTCGTACTCCATTTACTCCTTCAGGATCCTGTCGTCCATGTGCAATATTGATTTGAAATCACGGTTTTCCAACTCCCCCAAATGGATCCTTCTTACCTGCCAATTCGGTTTTTTATTTTCTTAATCTTATAAACAGCTACCGCGCTATGAGAAAACAGTAATTTCGACTCCCTTTGTAGTGGCCGTATACGTGAGGTCATATGAAAACACTTCGAGAGGTAGAGCGGACACTTCCTTCCCTCAACTTTACCAGGATATGTGGGGCAAATTTCCGGTAAATTATCTCACCTTTGATGGTCAATCAGTTAAAAGTCTGTTTATTTGTTTGTTACTGGTTTTAATTGTTTGATGTATAAAAAATGGTGTGTGAAATTTGAATGGATATACATGTTCAAAAGAATTGTAATATCGTCGACTCGTAGTGGTTGGTACACATAGGTTATTCTAGCTTCTGAACAGACCAATTTATTCATTCCATTCAAGCCACATTTTAAACTTGTTGATTATTATCTTATTGATCCTACTGTTTTTTTTTCACATGATCGTATGTGTGTTAGTTGCTTACCCTATTCATCACGTGTCTGTAACTTGTTTTTCTCTGAATATAAATATTGAGTCACGCTTGATTAAAAAGAGTTGGTTCACTCGCCTTCTCTGTTTCGCTTCCTTCACTATGTTTCTGTGGGTTTTTTTTGTCTGGATCAATATGTATGAAATACATGTATTCGAAATTCATTCTCGTATTCGGCTTATTTTATTTCATTATTCTATGACGCGACTCAAGTCGATAGTTGTATACGAGGATTGGTGGCATGTATATTTCGATAACAATCAGCATATGATTTAACTGGAGTAAGATATCGGGCCACTAAAGACCTGTATATGATTGACAGCATTGAATTAGTCAATGTGTCACAAGTATTGGTGAATATTTACAACTGTATTGTATACGAGTGATAAACTTATAGGTGTATCGAATAATGTAATAACCGAGATTGTAACTCATACTAGGTGGTATCTATCGTTATAAAGGCCAGCGAAACGTCTTCAATATGGCTTATAACGTGGTTCAGCGGTTGAGTCAACCTTATTTCAATGACTGAGTTACTAGCTAGAAATTCGCCTCTATGGAAGCAAGTTGACCCGAATCTGGTGAAAATCCAAACGTTCATTTAGCTCTGATAATCCCTTCACAGGTAAATCAATTTTGGGAGAGTGGAATGGTTATTATGATAACATGGTTGGTAGTTGCTTTTTGGGTGACTGATGAAACCTTGAAATACGGGAGAATAGCATACTATAGAGAATAAATGACACTCATCGATCACTGGATAATAACCAATATCATGTTATTTATTTCTTAGTACTGATCAAGTTCCATATCAATGCAGACAACAAGGCTAAATGATTCAGTATCACAGTGCATTTTGTTTGGTTCTAGGCGGTTAGATTCAATAAACAGGAAGTTCTGAACACCTGGATTTCGTTCTAGCATTTACATTAAAAAGGCCAGTCCTCAATATCCAAAGTTTACAATCAAAAATTCTTAATTAATCCATTAAAATCGAACTTCATAAAGCTAAGTTCATACTGTTTTCGTCTAGTTCCTATTTTCCTAATTGTTACTTCACCATGTAATTGTCTACTTCACCGCTATTAACTCAATTCTCCGTAATTCCTCTTTATTTTAAATAGGAGAAATGAGAAATTTTTCTCTAGACAAAACATACTCTTCTTCATCGTTATACTTCATTCTGAGAATAATGATTTTCAGGGGTGACCGTGAAATAGCCGAACAAAAAAAGGAGAGGGCAATCATACTGATTTAAAAACATTAAAATGTAAGAATGAGCAGTTCTTTATAATCCAGAAACCTAGGTGTAAAATTATATATGTGAAAGACAAGAGTTTACAGTCCAAAAATCGGATAATCAGAAAAATATACTAATCTAACTTATATACTACACAACACAGAAATCCGTGTCAATCTGGATCATCTGTCTAGCTCATATTTGTTTGGCATATGATATTTAAAAATTTGAAAATAAATGCGCGTTGCTGAAGGGTCTCGTACTAGGACGAAACAGTTGCCCAATGTTCCTCGATTTTAATAATTCTCTAAGATCAATCAATACCTGGTGTGAACTATAAAAATTAGATTGTCTCGTGATAAGAAATAGAAATTCAACCATTTTGTAAGATCACTATCCACATTAGGAATAATTTTAACTATACTATGAATTTATAGATTAAATGACGATCATTTAAATAAAGTAATTCTGCTTTTAGGATATTCCAGTTAAAATTTTCTTTGTATTTGAATTCAGTAGGATCAAGCAAATTATTAGATATGTAAACTGAATCAAAATGCGAATATTTCTACATTTAAGAAAATTATAATAATGTATTAACTAGTAGAAATACGTAATATGTATCTAGTATTTGGAAGAAACCTAGTTATTGGTTGATGTGAATAGTTCTCTTCACGAACTAAAATGTCTGATTAATTGTGAGTGGTGAAGTGTATCCTTATCGAGATTGAAATGAGTATGATCAATGATAGTAGATAGTCATCAAATTATACCATGAATTGACTGAAATTTGCTATGTTGACAGTTGGGTTCTAGGTTAATGGTCTTAAATTAATGTATTTGTGAATATGTTTGTAAAAATGTACATTTGAGCAATTAACATAATACATGAAAATGTACGGTTATTTCTTTATCCTGAAACTGACTACTTTTTTTGGGGGGGGGTCTTTCAATTTCAGCTCGAATCTTTTGCTTAGTTGTTTCAAAACTTCCTTGTAATCAAAAACACATTTTCCTATAAATCTCTTAACCCTAGCTTTTTATGCTATTTGATAAATCATCAGAATACGAATCATTAAGTTACTGACAGTGTATATAAAAGAGTCATATTCTTTAGGAGAAACCATTCTCAAGAAACTGGAGTACAGTTCCATCACTGGTGGTATCCCATAGCTGAACAGTCCTAAACTAGGGGGAACCCCAGTTCTCACATCCAGCATGAACTAAAAACTTTTTACATTTTAGTGAACATATGAATATAGCCACTAAAATTATAAACTAAATTAGATGAACTTACTAGCCAGGTGCATGGGTATGAGAGACACCATAAGTATGAAAACTAAAGATGCCACCTGGTTTCCTGTACCAAAGTAAGTGGAGCAGACTTAGAGTGAGGGAATTAGTGGTTGAAAGTCAGATGACTTAACCGTGAAGACGCTAATTAGGATTCTATGTAAGATACGAAGTACCTTAAAACGCCTACTAGCAAATGAATGACACTATAATGTTTTCTAACTGGTGAATAATTATAACTTTTGAGTAATTTTAGGTAGGCGACGAACGTCGCTAAGATAGTATTTAAATCCAAATGGCATTGAGTAATTGTTTCTCAACACTAAAACTGAACCTAAATTCAACCATTGGATTTTAACTAACCAACCACATGGGTTCCGTCCAGAACGACACCTGAATGTACTCATTTTGACCAAGTTCCAAGTTGTGAGGAAGTACGACTAAGAAATCCCGATCTAGGTTACAACAACACTCCAATGTTTTATCGATTACAGTGCTCAGAATGTAATAACAAATATCTCCAAATTTAATAAGCTTCCTCGTACAACTAACCATGAGATTGATCTTTGGTCGGTTAGCCAAGTTGATCAATACATTTACTAGCATCCTTAATTATAATTTGAAATATATTTGTCTAGTTGGTGAAAAACGTCTTTCAGTCTCAAGGCTATTTCTTTTAAAGTATTTTTATTTCAACATTCTCTTATTTCACTCTTATCTCTCAAATAGAGGAACTCTTAAATTGTATCGTATTATTTGCTCATCAACTCAAAGTTTCCAGGCTCATGAATCATGAACATGTAAGAGTATGAAGCAATATTCGGTTCTAATTGAAGCTATCTTTAAAGACAAATTTCAAGGTTTATTGATAGCGTAGTGAACGGGAACACCAGTGGGGACAACCAAATGTATTTGAATACAAAATTACAGAATCATCTAGTAAAACCTTCATTTGAAAAATGTCAATTAATCGTCTCAGACTTGATTGCTCCTTCGTTTCCACACCAATCATTCTGTTCTCTTTTTCTTTTCTTTGATCTTATTAACATTCTATCGTCAAGCATTCCACTTTGGATTGGTGATACATACTACTTACATCTGTCGAAATCGGTAGCGCACACCACAATATATTCGAATTTGCGAATTGTTCTAGAAACCATATCAAAATTTGTTACAGTACAGGTATGGCACATTGATGAACGTTCTGGAATTTACCCCATTATAGCATATTATAATTTTAAACAATGTATCCTGCCCTAAACCTTCCCGCTTCTTGGATTATGCATAATTGTAGAATATGAAGAAAATTTATTTAAAATAATATTCTTCGTTCGTATATTAGTGTTTTAATATGGTGAGGACCTATAAGCAGTGCACTAATTTTCTAGATTTTTTCACATTGACAACTGGGTTAGATATAATTAAATTTTGATTGAACACAAGTCACTACCCATTAAGGAATTGATCTATTGTATGAAATCAATTTTACAATATTATGTACTACAGATTAACGGTAACTAAAAAACTACTGAAGACCATACAATATTGGACTATCAAAACCTAGATACAATCAACTCTATACGGTCTCAAACTTGAGACACCCAACTCACCTCTGTTATTTTGTTTACATTATCATTTACTCACTAGATTAAAATTCAGTGATCAAATAAACCTAGTCACTGGATGGTTGTGTTGTAACGTGTGTGACTTGCATGTTTTGGTAAGCAGCGTTTTATTGACCGATCGATTACAGTGACACGGAAAACACGTATGGACGACCTAGTGCCCTGATTGGCCCTGCTTCGCTGTCTGTCCCAGCCAGTTGAGTCAAGAACGCAACTCACAGCCTCTGAGTTATGAATCATTGTATTTCAGACATACTCTATTTATATACCAAACAAACAAACCACATCGTACCATAAAATAGAGAACAACATTTACAAAATATTTAACAAGTGAAATAAACATCAACCAATAAGAAATGTACATTTAAGGTCCAAGGCCACCATAGACTTAACACGATAATTATTGGTATATTTTTCCAACTATCCTAACAGGTTGGAAAAGCCAAATGGCGACCAACAGGTATATGGGTAATACAAAGCCGTCAAATCGGGTTACGAAACAAAGTAGTTTCTTGAATGGTAGGAATGAGAACAAGAGAAAGAAATACAATACAGTAATAGGTGTTGAATATGTAATAACAACTCCCGATTTCGAACAAATTAGTGCTTATATAAATTAAAACAATCATTCATTATTTCGGAATTGTTAATGAAAGGGAAAGAGAAAGGCGGAAGAACATGTTACTTTGGAAATTAGAGGCAGACATCGAAAGAATGAATAGCACTTACGAACAACTATAAAGGAGAACATAATATAGAATAGGTTGGAGAATCCTGGTCAGCGGCTTATGCTCCTCCAAGGGATAAAAGAAGAAAGTCAGAAAAAATCCCTCGTACATAATCATCATTTGACCAGACCTCAGATCGATTTGTGGAAATCAATTACAAATCTACAAAAACAGACGAGTTCCCCTCTATTATAACATTTTTCAGGGGCAACTTATGGGGTTTATTAGCCATTGGATGATATATTTGTTGTCAACTATATGCACCAACTAGAAACTTGTCAAATGTCTACGCCTCCTCTGTTTAATTCGAATTTAGGAAATCGATTGGAAGTTCATGAAAACAGTGATATCCAGTATGACGATGCAAGCTTTACAATTAACCAAAAAATCCAAAGAACATAACAGCCAAAAGAAAACGTTGATAATCCATTTATTTTTATAACGACAATAATATTAAATCACTTCATTATGAAATACATATTCATATCAGTATTCAGGTATTAATGATGAGTTCAATTAGTTAAAACTGTCGTACTAAACCGCTAAATTGAGTGAAGTAAAAAAATATGGAAAGTGGGATTTAGATCAATTTTGGAATGAAATGAATAAGAGAAAATGACCAACTTAGCGCTGTTCAGGATACCAGTAGTCACATTCTTTTAATATGTATTTACGAACACAGTTTATATAATTTTTATATCCCCTTAGTTGAAAGCTCTCAATCGATTGATTAACTACTATCAAAAGCTTTACCGCTTCCAAATTACTGTAAATTATTTATTAGACTATTAAACTGAATGTTTATTTTAGATTCTATGTTTATTATATATTTAACTGCTTACTTAAGATAAGTTATAATCAGGTAATTCATGTATTTAATCACGTGAATTTCTTAGCCATAGATACAACGATTACATCTGCTGATTCACTTTCGTATTCTGATTGAGTTTGCGGACACGAAATCTACATAGCAACAACGTTAAAATATCAGGTCATTTATTTGGGGATTAGTGTCATTGATTCAAGCATAGTAGTCCTCACGGTCATCTCACTCAATGACATTACGTGATATTATATTGGCCTTAAGACGTGTTAAAACGTATTTCCAACGTTCTTTAGCTTTCATTACTCATCTGATGTTAACTTTTGTGAGTAAAATAAAACTTAATTCAGGTAAGAACAATAAACGTAGTCGGATAAGGTAAGTTCATTTATATTGTAGTTTCTCTTCAGCTGTTCACAATTTAGAAACAACAGTAATAATTATGACAGGACCATAATTTATGGACGAATCAACCAGATTTAAGATAGACTTCAGTTTTCAAGTGAAATTCATATATCGATATGGCTAAATAACATTTCGACACTATAGGTGTTAGCTCGCGATGAAAACCCTAACTTACAACTCTAACTCCTATTCTCAATTCCTTAAATTAATCTACAAACCTATTTCCACCCTAGCAAGCAGTTACTTTTCAAGGTCACTTCGGTGTTGCTCAACGCCGTCCATAAAACATGGCCTCGCCATAATAATCTACTATATCATATCATACTAATGAAGGTTAATAAAATAATGACAACTATAAATCAAATATGAAAATTCTAAGACAGGTTTCCATAAAATGAAAATGAAAATCGACGTTGCAAGTTACGTAACAACAACCGTAAAACTGGACACATCAAGAGTAAACTGAGTAAAGCTAAAAATAATGACGTAGAAATGAAAAAAATTTGTAATTTAGAACATGAAATAGAATATTACACGACTAAACTATAATTAGCTAGAAGTTACCAGGGTAGTGCGAAATTTACAACAGTATATTTTTCAATGCATATATTCGGTTTTAACCACTGATAAACGTAGTAAATTTGAGGTGGCTTGAGTATTGATTATTTTGGACGATTTTGAAATTTCAACTGTTGTGGGATGTGCTTCGATATGCTAACTTTCCTCTTCGTTCTTCCGATGTAAATACTTAGCACTGGTAAATAAGAATGCAGATAAAATGAGGTTGACATTTTCTAGAACTGTATACTAGTACTTATATGGAATAGTTGATCAGTGTGCTGAACTAGTTTTTTTTACATTGTACAATGATTAATCGGTTTTAACACTCATTCAAAAAGTCCCAATCATTTGAAGTCATACTTATCGAATAGTAATTTTAAATATTGGATAATTAAGTGATGATGGAGTTCAGACAAACGTCATCGACTTCTAAATATCTTTCCATGTATTTTAGAAAAATCCACAAACATGTCAGCATCGTGTTCGACAAGCGACACCTTATAAAATACATTAGATTATTAGAAATAGGTTCCATGTTTGCTTTGCAGAAATTGAGACAACCTTGTAGATAATAACTTTTCAATGAGTCAACTAATCTTGAGTGTAAATTGGATTTATTAAAATCCCCTAAAAAGCATATCCCACTCTCCATTAATAGTGAACAATGTACTTTAATTGATTTATTTACAAACAATAGCTCACAATGAACCTATTTGGTATGACTAGTCGATGAGCTTACATACTTCTGTATCTATAATTTATTTTTATTTTAACACATAGATATTGGTGCAAAGAGGCACCAAATACATATGCGCCACACAAATCTTATTCGATGTGTGAAGGCTGTGATACTGCCCGGGTGCCCAAACCGAAGCAGGTGGTTTTCTTAGGAAGCCATATCTGGAGTCTTCGACCTGAAGTTCTGATCCACAAGGCAGTGGAGCATCGTAAGGAGATGCAGTCCCATGGAAGCCGGTGACCAACAATTGGTTCATACGCCATTTGTTCCGCAGGATACTGGAGCCTATGTGCACCATTAGTTTGGAATCCGGTTAAAGCGCCGGACATTCGCTTTTCGTCCTCTCATTTTCGTAAACAACACCCCCGCCACGAGAAGGCAATGAGTATGACTTCCCTGGCAGGGGCTATATACGTGTGGCCATGTGAGAGCATTTCGAGAGGGAGAGCGGACTCTCCCCACTCTCGGCCGTACCAAGGAATATATAAACTGTAGGAAAACATCATTCGTCTTTCATATTTGACCTGACTTTAACCTTTTCATAAAGTTGAATAGGAAATGGGGATTTCGAAGATAACCGAAATGAAAGCATAAAATTGTCACAATATATGAAAGAATACAACTTACATTTACTGACGATTCAGATAGTAGGGTCTTAAAGTAAATAACTTTGTTTACTCCATTTAAAGTTAGGCTTTTCAGAAATTTAAAGCATATTCACATGAAAGTCTGGATACCTTTCCTAACCACAGTATAAATTAACACTTTTTAAGTATTTCTTTGCACTTTAACATTTCTTTCTATATGACGAATTCCCATTGATCACACTACCACATTGCTGTTTATCGGAATGAGTTAATCTTGTCAATATAAAATTCACCATCCATAATATTATATAACTTAGTAAAATTGTTATAAATGCTCATTGGTTTGTTTTTTTCTCATATCTTCGGTATATTCAAACAACTACTTGAAACTCAGTCAGTCAATAACAACAACGTGGAACTTCGTACGTACGTAAATCACTTCGAGTTGCCATACCACATTAGCACACAGATAAAATTTTCAATTCAAATCTCATAGTCGTAGAGGTAGTAAGAGTATAAGCAGTAATCGGAAAGATTAGAGTTTGAAGATGTTATTCAAGGAGTATAATCCAGTTAAATAAATTTGCAAAGAAGAAAAAGGAAAGGGACATGAAGAATTCAGAAGATTCGAATTTGAAAGAACACAAAGAGCGGATGCAACTGCGCCATTGCAAACGACTTTGAGCCATGTCACTTTCAAGGTCTCTAACCATCGGTTGCTATCATCTCGCGGTCCCCGACCAGGTAGTCTGCACCTACCAACATGGCTCAGTCCACTTATCAATGACTTCACCGATCTATGCCATGTTTTGGTCTGGTCACCCCTAGTTTTCTTCCAACCTACTCCTACACCATAAAACATCGCACATCGGGGCAGTCGGTGGTTGGGCATACGTAACACGTGTCCCAGCCATCTCAACTGATGAAGCTTCACCACTTCATCAATCGATTTGCCATCCTTACCTAGTACCCGTTTCCTAACAACTGTGTTACTTACTCGATGGTCCCAGGATATACGAGAAATGCTCCGAAGACACATGATAGAATACTAGTAACCTACGAACATCCTCTGCACTTACCGGCCATGTTTCATTGCCATAAAGGAGGACGGAACGAACTGATGCGCAGTAAACCCGTTCTTCGGTTGGTAGACGGATATCTCACCTACGCCATAAGTGACGCAAGTTGGCAAAAGCTAGTCGAGTCTTCTGTATCCGTGCTGAGATTTCGTCACACACCAGACCACAAGGGCTGATGAGACTTCCAAGATAAGTGAAGCGATAGACACGCTCAACTACTTTACTCCCTATCATTAGTTCGGGTGTCGATGCAACCCAATCCTGAAGCAACATTTGTATTTCGAGGGAGTGAATCATATGCCGAACGTGCTTGCATTGTTGCTTCGAGTGGTCAGAAGACTCTGTATTTCGTCAGCGTCTTCACCAAATAGAACTATGTCATCGGTATATTCTAAGTCAACAAGTGAATCTCCTTATAAAGTTCAACCCCTGGAGAGTGTTATCTCTAAACGCACGTCAACGACAAAGTTAAACAAGAATGGAGAGAGTGGACAGCCCTGACGAACACCACTTGAGGTAATTAATTCTGATGACAGTTCGCCATAAGCTCTCACTCGACCAGTTGTGTTCGAGTAGAGAGCCTTTACAAGGTTAATGTACTTCTTTGGTACTCCTTTTAGTGACAAACACTGCCACAGAACCTCACGATCAACTGAGTCAAAGTACTTGAAACTACCGGACGAATCATAATAGAGAAAAACTTGAAAAAATGTAATTGTTTAGTTAACATTATGAAACTCACTGAATAACAGTCAACTGATCACTGACTAGTGACCGATGTCATGTTTAACTATACCCTAATGGTAATCAAGTGTTATAGACCAAGTAACAATGTAATCATTAGTTTAAACGACTGAACATCGCATGCACTATGCCGAAATGTTAGGTCGTTGAAGGTAGTCAGCAGTAAAAAACCCACTTGACCTAAGTTGCATACTATCCAGTAATAGCTACCAAGCCATATGTGGAATCTTGAGGGAACAGGTCCACACTGGTGGATCTGAAACTGTCACCCAGTTTCTCAATCTAAGACGTTACCACTGGGTTATTCGGGCCGTAACTGACCTCCTATAGGACTGACTGATCACTGCGTATTGATCAGTCTTTGTCTAGTCCTAAATCTAGGGTCGCCTGCAGACTGCCTTCAACCACTCCAGAAAATTGTTTCATAATGTAACTTACACAACAAACTGAATATAAAGGAAAACAAGACTATACAAGGGAACTTATTGTTGAATTCTTCGAAGTATTTTTTCCTGCAATACACCATGATGTTTTTAAGATTATTTAAAGTAAACAAAACTGCTGAACAAATGTATGGGCTGTAGTTCACTGAAGTTAAATAAATCGAATTTCAACTGTTGAATAGTAGATTCAAAGTTTCTTACGTCAAAAATCATCGAGAGTCATATAGAAGCGCCACCTCACCCACTCCCATAACTGTCTTTTAAAATTTTATGCTGTTCATTCCGTAAAATACTATGGCTTGAGGAGTAACAAAGTAGTAAATTGCCAGTGATATGTCAAGAATTTAGAATGTCTTCATTGTACGTATACGTATCCATAAAAGCATTAAGCATAAATACCAAGTCCTATTTTTTCTAAAAACCGAAGTCCTGACCATATACAATTCACATTAAATACGATACACCCATTAAGGAAGGTCATCTGTTTAACAATTATTACAAATGAACCAATCTAGAGGTCAATAAACTATGAGTCATCCAACCAAAGTAACTCGTATGACTTAGAAAATAAGAGATCGACAAAGGCTAAAAATCAATAACAACACCACATAAGGTTATACACAATCATTACCCATCTTTGTACAGGGTTTGTGAATTTTACACATATAGCATTGGATAATTTTAACACTAAAAAATTGACTGAAGTCGTAACCACAGCACTTAACGGTAACCTGGTAATTCTAATCTTTAAACATGCATCACAAGATTTGAAGGTTACGCCTCCTATATCTAATGAGGTCGTAGATGGGTTTTGTCGAGGTGTCTCATACTAAAACGAAACTGTTATCCACTACGCCTTCGTTTCCATTAGTACGCCAATTAAGATAAATCTAAAAAGAATACAACCTACAAATTGAATGAAAATACATCAAGTTGCTTAAGACTACATCACTTACATAATGGTTGGATTCTCACATTGTGAAATATTCCAAACGATATCAAGAAATAATGACATCGTAATGCATATATATATCAGTAAGACACCAGTTATGACTGTCAAGAATGAATCAAGAAATAATCAATACTTTATGATAGGCAAGAAATTAAAATCAGACATTAATTTATCGATAAAATCAGATGAAAAACAAGTCAATGAAATTACAAGGTCACATGAAATACCAAAAAAATGATAATACTAATAATTGGTGAACATACGAATGGTTGGTTGGTTAATGAATGAATGACATTTGTAAAAAAAAGCACTACAAATTAATGAGTCAACTACAATCATTATTACTGCAGCGTCAGCGACAACTAATAGTGGATAATTTTTTGTACAAAAATGTTATCGATCATTCCATTTATATTAAATAATTGTCAAAATCAAATGATCCAAGGTGAGTGACACTATTTATCAATACAATCTGTTACCTGATCATCAGTATCACATGGTTGCAGACTTGTTGATTGTTCAATAATTTCCTCCATTTTGATTAGTTCCGACTCTTCTCCAACTTTAAGAATACTGATAGAAACAGGAACAGTAGAGATGGTGGAATTTGTAGTATCTGAAATAAGACTGGTTGCAGAAACTGTCGTAGTAGCAGTGGGAATAGTATTAGTATAAGTGGTGTGAGTAGTAGTAATAGTAGCAGTATTGAGAGTGGTAATGGGAGCAGTACTGACAGAAATTTGACTGTTTGTGACAATAGATTCAAGTGTTTCATTTGTTTGTTGTGGAGTTGTAAGAAAACGTGACAAACTTCTTGGTTGTGCACCACGAATGTGGATATTGCTGTGACGACGTAAATCATACATACGGACAAATGAAGCTTTACATTGATCACACACAAATGGTCGTTCACCTGTATGTCGACATATATGTTCACGCAGTTTATTCAGTTTTGGGAATGCTTTACCGCATTCTTTAAATGGACAGATATGTGGTCGTCTCATTCCTGGATTCCCACTTATAGGAGAAATAGGACGCATCGGAAGAGATACACTCGATTTTGGTGCAATAGCTGGGAGAGGACGATTTTTCATAACAGCTGGCGCTATCGATATCTCATTTCTTGTTTCCAATGGTTCCGGCTTTGGTAAGATATATGGTGAACTAGTAGTTATTTCTGGATTGTTCTGAATATCCAACCTTGGGTCAGAAATATCAAAACTAGTCCCTGTCATACTGTTAGTGTTAGGGATTTGAGACAGTCTTTCAGCACGTTTACGGCCGAATACGTGTGTTAATTCATGACGTTTAACACCGTATAGCCGGATGAATGCAGCACCGCAACCAGGTTCACGACAGACGTAGGGCCTTTCACCTGTATGTGATCGTAAATGCTCTTTGAGCTTGTTTAGCTTTGAATAGGCTTTACCGCATCCAGCATATGTACAAGCATGTCGACGCCGTGAATCCTTATCAGCCGCATAAAGATGAGATAATTTGTGCCTCTTTAAATCCTCTTCTGAAAAGTACCTGACATTACAATTCGGTGCATCACATGGTATCGGACCAGTGCCAGTATGTGTTGATATATGTTGGTTCAAGCGATGCCGTCTAGCATACGATTTATCACATCCAGGATATGTACAATGATATCTACCCAATTCACTAACAGACTTAATGTTAAACAGTGCTCTGGGGTCAGGAATTACCACGGATGACTGAGATGATTCGGACTTTACAGTACTTACATCATTATTGTTGTCACTGCTATTATTATTACTACTACTACCAGTAACATTATCTTTATTAACTGAAGCGTTTACATTGAACGTTTCCCACTTATACATTGCGTTATATTTTTCATCAGCTTCTTTCAATGCTTTATTGAATTCTTCTTCAGTCAATGTAGCTGATGGTGGACAATCTAAGAGATGCATACTCCAATGATCACGAAGATCACGTCTACGTTTAAATGTTGAAGTACAATGAGGTTCTGGACAGGTGAATGGACGCTCACCAGTATGTGTACGTATATGTTCCATTTGATTGAATCTACTATGAAATGACATTTGACAATTAACCATAGGACATTTGAAGCGTTTTACACGTCCAACAGGACGCTGAGTGTTTTTATCGTCAGAAACATGTAAGTATTCAGCTTGACTAGAACTTCGGTCAGATGATAAAGAAACTGTAATATTCTCAACATTCGATGGTGTCACAATCATACCACCAATATTATTATTATTATTATTATTATTAAGGGTTGCAGCAGACGAGACAGCTGTACTAGTAACACCAACATTACACAAACTATTTGGTGAAGTAATTATACCTCCAGTTGTATTCAGTCCTAATCCCGATATATACGTAGACAAAGGAATGGCAGATAGCAAATTGGGAAGTAATGACGCTGTAGGGATTGTTACTGTGTTGACTCCACTGCTACCACTACTAAAACCAACACTACCACTACTAACACTACAAGCACTACTAGTGTGCTCACTATTGTTGTTCACATTACTACCATTAACATTACCATCGATCATACTGCTGTTCACCATCGGAGTACACATAGATCCAGCTAACTGACTTATCATGTTCACTGTGGCACAATTCACAAGCACAGCAGCAACAAGTGGATTCAGTGCAGTCCCACTATTCTGTACAATATTACTCGTCAAATCTGTCAAACTATTCACATTAGGCATACTCATCATTTCCGTTGAATTCACAACAGGAGAATGAAGCCACAATGTAGGCAATGCATTGGAAACAACATTCGGCATTTGCACACTTCCTGATCCATTCATTTTACCCGACACTATAGGTTGAAGTGCAACATTTTGTATGGTGGGAGCAACATGTGGTGTACATGTGAGTAAATTGTGAATCACATCATTCAGAGGTAAAATTCCAATAGGTTTAACCGAATCTGTGGTTACGGTCACTGGAGTTCCATTTCCAATGGCTTCATCCACTTTAATATTCGACACTGGGTTGTGAGATTCACCTTTCATATGAGAGTCATTTGAATTCATATCTCCATCATTCCCATTGTAATCTTCCTCCGCATAATCTTCTTGTTCTTTCTTTAATACATCATCAAATGTTGCATCTTCCTGTTTCATACGATCTTCATCTGGATCTGTAGGTTCTACAATAACTATTTCATCATCATCATCACCACAGTTAAGTAGTTGAAACAATTCTGGACTTTCCATTTTACTTGATTGAGATGAATGTTTTGAATTAGTAGATAAGTTGAATTTTGAGGATGATTTCATTGATGCAGGCATGAGAGTAGGTCGATGAAGCATGATTGTGATTTTGATTTAAAATATCCACAAATATAGTTGTATGTATTTTTAGTGCAACTCCAAATGCTAATTTGTAATCCGAGTTACAGGATATTTGAAATATTGTTTAAAAATAACAGTTAAATCCAAGTATAGAAAGTCTACAATCATTGGTTTCATGTGAGGGTATCTAACCGGTTTAAAAATTGAACATTTTAATAGTGTTATCATGTATCACCCACGCGGGGCGATAAGGCAGATTAGTTTTCTCTGTAAATGGGAAAATAAAACTGTTCACGCCCTAAAATAAATGAGGGGTCCAAATAATTCTCCTTCTATTCTCTACCCTCTTTATGTTTTAGTGACAGCTAGTTTACAAGGACGAAAGAAAAACCAAGGTCGGTAAATCGAACTGCAGGTCGCAGTTTATCGTTCTGATTGGTTTATTCTAAGCTAGTTAATTTTAACCAATCATAGAGCGTGGTCTCTTGCTTTACTAACCTGAGCTTATGACCGCACTTAGGCCGCGGAGCCTGTTGTTTAATTTTCGGGCATGTTTGTTACAGACATGAAAACAACTAGTGAATGAGAGACAAATAAAATGAGAGAGCCATCTTGGATCAGGCTAAATTCATTGTACGTGGTCCCTCCTTTCTCTCTCTTTCTCTGTCAAGGCTTATTGTATATACACACATAACTAGACACACCAACCGCTACGTGTCTCTATATGGTTCTCTCAACAACCATTGGGTACCTTAGCCAATGAAAAATTAGGACAAAAACAAAGTATTTCAGTAACACAAAGTCTCAATGAAAAAATCAGCCTCGAGTACTGGCGAACGTTTTTCTAATTTTTCACGCTACCTCGTCTATAATCAGTGTTTGTTCTAACCCCTTAACATATGGGGATGGGACTTAGTTAAAACTGTATATTGTCAAAACCAAATAAATGACTTGTGTGTCTGAAGGAAATTTTTAGCGAATTTTTTCGTCTGATATATATATATATATATATATATATATATATATATATATATATATATATATATATATGTCTATTTATAAGTCATTTATAAATTATTGTTAAAAGAGGTATAGAAAACTTGTGTATTTCTCACTGAGTTCCAATAACTATTCATTCCATTCAAAGAAATTTCACCTAGTTCTCGATCTTTTCTATGATTCATAGCTTTATAGAATATCCTTGTAATTTTATTTTTGATCGATTTCATTATATGAATTATGAATGGTAACAATAGAAATGAAAGGAATATTTCTGTAATTATATTAGTATCTATTCATATTAGAAATTTGTGACAAATTTTCCTAAATTGAAATTCCATCAATCCTAATTTTTAACAACGGATTAGTTCAAATTCTTATTAATAAGAAATTCTATTTGTATTGTTTAAGTTGTTCTTCTTTTAGACTATGGAGCTGGTTAACAGATAATGTGAACAAAACCAGTTCATCAGAATTGTTCGTCTATATTATTCATGACTGTAAATGGCTCAAAGATAATAAATTGACTAGAAGTATCCTATTTGTCTCTTTATTCATAATATTTAATTGATTAGTTGAATGGTCAAATTTCACAATTCAAATATTTGTGTTTTAGTATCAAGTTCACAGGACGATACTTCGAATTTCAACTATTACAGATATAATGGTAGTTAGGGAAGCGTTTAAACATTGACTTTATACAACTATAAGTCACTGATTAATAATTTGAACTGTTTAGAGATGTGTAAATTTCCCGATTGGTTGATTCACGAAATGATATTATTCTTATGATCGGAAACGTTACCTGACATAGTTTAGAATCAATGATAATATTGCTGAGTAGATATTCGTAAGCTACTAATATTTGACCACAGATGTCTTAGAAATATTGCTCACATCCCCTGGGATCACCGGGTAAGTAATACTGAGGTTAGACGCAGAGTATTAGGGAATGATGGTAAATCAGTTGGTGAGATTGTGAATCTTCACCGACTGAAATGGTTGGGCCACGTGTTGCGTATGGCTAAACACCGAATGCCATGACGCACAATGCTGACTAGTGTAGGGGATGGTAGGGAGTCAGGGGCGGCCAAACCAAAACGTGGCATCAATCCACAAAGTCACTAACTTCTAGTCTGAGCCATGCTGGTAGATGCAGACTACTTGGTTGGGGTCCGTGTGACTATCGTAACCAATGATTGGAGACTCTGGATGACATGGCTCACAATCGATCACAATGGCGTATGTGTAAACACTCTCTGTCTTCCCTTAAAATATGAGATTAAAATCACTTCATATCTTCCTTTGTATCTACTAATTCTTTCTTCTTGTACTATATCCTTATATGCAATCTTTCTTTTATATATTACCACCATTGACCTAAGTAATCGTATGAATCCGGTGTTCATCTTGTTGTGCTAATGCGGTATGTCAACTTGAACCGATGCATATATATGTCTGTTCCTACGTTGTATCTGACTGACTGTTAACTTGTGTTTCGATATCATCGCATACTTTTCATTTTTCTATCAAAATCATCATTTTAACTGGATTTAAAGATGTTTTTCTACTATTTCACCTTTCATTTATTTGATTTCCTTTCTTGTGCAGTTTCGAGGTGAATTGTAGTGATTAGGGTCGATACATATTTGTTCCAGGTTTTATATTCTGATCGACTAATTGATTAAACTAATAGTTAAAATGGGCGTATCTAGCATAAGACATTTTAATGATTTGATGCCGATAAAAAATTGATTAATTTCTAAGTGACAGTCACTAGTGAGTGTGCAGTTGCATCGTGAAAACAAACATGAGATTGGAAATTATAGAAACTTTTCGATGTGTATAGATAAACGGGTCTGAATGAAGATAAGGAAATGTTTATCTTCAACCATAGGTTAATATTATCTCAAAACCCATTACCCAGGATGGCGACACTTCTATATGTTGTTCAGACGAACATCCAGAAACTTTGTGAATTTATTAGCTGTAATGGACGGTGGTTAGCACTGTAATCCAGGAAGTGAGTTTCCATCTGTTTATAGGGCTTGTGGCGTAGGGCAATATCGAGGTAGTCCTCACAGGGTGCACACATGCCAATAAGAGACTGTTCAATTGCATTCCTTAACGTCAATGGAAAGATTCAAACAACCAATACACTATGCATTAATAAATTTGTGTTATCTATATTTCAAACGTACTTGTATACTAGCAAGGATTACACTTGCTTCATACACATCAGTTAGAGAATGTTCAAATTCTTATTAACAGATTTACTATCTACAAAATCAGTCACTTCAGTTTTTGTCAAAGCTCCTATGACACAGGCTAAATACTCGTATATTCATTAAAAAGATATTGTCAACTTTTATCATCTCTGATGTAAACGAGATGTTCGTCTATTAACCAAAAGAAGAGTGTACCAAGCAACAACTTTTCGGTCTACTTTATAGCTATGAAACATGGGACTTAAAATAGAAGAAATGAGTAGATTACCTTTATCTGATCACTAATGACTACAAAGTGTAAAATACATATCTCGAGTGATCAGTACTGATGTTATGCTGAGGGCATAGATGAAGTCGACAAGCGAATTGATGAGACAGGAAATCTTCATTGGTGTAGGGAGTGAGACACCTATTACACATGACTAATAAACATCCATCCCGATGCACGACGTTGGAGATATAATAATCAGTTGACATAAGGCCAGACGTTACAAACCAATAAATTATCATTATCTGAAGTTTAAGACTGTTGGTCTGAACCGTACATGAAAGTTTAAACTACCTAGTTGGGGAACTTAAGCGAAATGACTGAAAATCAATGGTTTAGTAACTTCTTTGAAACCGATTCCGAAGAAAAACGAGCTATTCGGTATTTACTAACATCATGGTTCTCTAACTGCAATCACTCTGTTATGCAAACTGTAATGATAAACTGGTTGGATAAGAGCAACGGCACCAATGAAAAGTGAAATACACACCCATGTAGTCTGATAATATTTCTCACTGATTCCTCAGTTCTATTTTATCGCACATATTATTTAGTCAGTCCAACGAATCAATTATATTTATCACTTGTTAGCTTGTGAAAACAATGAGCTTTCAAATCGGTCATTGAAAACAACAAAATCCATACAACAAACAAATGTGAACCATTTGAGTATCACACTGAATTATTCAAAATCACTGGAAATGATGAGAAGAGTTAACGAGAGATAATGGGAGGTGAGTATAAGAATGAGAAAGTTAGTAAAATGAATCGGAGGATGGACAAGAATCAACAAGTCTATCTCCTTTGGTTAGGACAGTGTCACAAAATGAAACACTTTAGAAGTATAGGAAGAGAAATAGTATGAACAGTGATGAATTGGAACGAGGAAGATGGAACAGTGATTTGTGTTGTATAGGATTCCATGATAAATTCAAATAATGGTGACAAATGAATGTGACACGACAGTGGAGATTGATAATAGTAGATTTGATCGTCAAAATCTTCAATCACAAATGCCGATTATTTCTCAGATTGCAATTCGGAAGTATATATGTAGCGTCCATAGTGCAGTCCACGAGTCAATCATTTCGATATAATCCCCTGATTCAATCGTCACAAGTTTTGATCTAAATTCTATGTTGACTAAGGTTGTATGTGTGGGTAGACAGTGGTTAATTATTCACAAACATGTCCCAATCATACAAGTCGATGAGATTTTAAAGTGTTCTTGATTAGTTTTACTATTTCAACACACTATTCCAAATCTGACCTCAACATTCCTAACTTGACATTTCCTCCAAACATGAGTGATGATTGGAAGTGATCTATGGTGAGAAAATTCTCACGGATGTCTTCTATTCTAAATGAGGTGTTTAACGACCGTAGAGAGATACAGATAGAATTGTTGCTCAGTACATCTGGTCGTCGACTGACAGATGATCAAATGTCTAGGATGCTCAACAGATGTAATGATTTTGCGAAATTCGAGGTTGTTTATTGCATATATTCTTAGATTTTGTCAGGCACCCACCCATTTTCAGAATATGTCAATCGGTTAACTTCGATCATCTCAAGACTTAAAATATTAGTGTGTAGTTTAACCATCCGAAACTGATATAGGATGTTTGTAGAAAGTTTAGTTGGACAACGATTGCGAATGAGGAATCACTTGGTAGTTGTATCACCGTCCACA